CCAATGGCGTGCGTCCTTCCTCCCACCGCCGGGAGAAGGGTGGTGCCTCCCGTCGTTGCGGCTTTGCCGTAAAGCGTCGCCGGCGGAGCTTAGGGCGTGGGGTGAGTTCGGTGAGGCGCTGACCTTCTCCTTCTGCCCCGGGGCTAGGGCCGTCCGTCCGTCCGTCCGTCCGGGGCAGCAGCGCCAGGCCGCGGGACCTGGGCCGCGCTCCGGCGGCTTTTGGTTGTAGAAATAAAACCGGGTTTGTTGCGTTACTGACGCGTAGGGATTCCTAATTTATACATATATAGGTATATTTACCGCGGTACGTATATATACAGGTATGAGTAAAAAAAAAGTCCTTTAGGAGACCGCAAATAAAGAAGCGGGCCAGCCAGGTGGAGAGCCGTAAGCCCATAAGCAAGCGGGAGATGAACATCACAAAGATAAAACAACTGTGATTGCAGCTGAAAGGGGTTGGAAGTCCGAGGTTTTCTGTTTGAGAGGACGGCAGGCAGAACAGGGGAGGAGGAGGAGAAGCTAGACAGAAACGAAAATTAAACTAAAAGCAGGAGAGGGGGTAGAAGCAGAAAGCAGCAGCGTTAGAGCAAAGGGGGCTCAGCCGGGTAACGGAGCGTGGTTAGAGACCGTGCTGTTCCCGTGGGACTTGCTGGCTCCCCGGAAGGCTGATGTCGAACTGATTATTCTTCAGGTTAAGAACCCCAGTCAGATGCGCCTAAAGTGTTGACTGAAATGTGAAAATGGCCAGTTCTTTAAGAAGTGAAGTGAGAAATCTGTACAGAAACGTAAGTGACCTTAAACACTGCGAGCACTTTCCTTAACCAGACAAACCCCTTTCACTGCCCAAGTCATAAAATAGAAAAACGAAATCTTTTTTTTCTTTTTGTTCCCTCAAGCTGCTGTACCTCGGAAGGGAGTATCCCAAAGGAGCAGACTACTTCAGAAAGCGTTTGAAAGCAGCTTTTCTAAAAAATAAAGATGAGAAAGATCCTGAAAAAATCAAGCAGCTGATTGCACGAGGAGAGTTTGTTATAAAAGAGCTGGAAGCTTTGTACTTCCTCAGAAAATACAGAGCTCTGAAACAGCGCTACTACGATGATGACAATCAGTAACTGGTGCTAATGACTTTCATGTAACAATACAAAGCCTTAAAAATGAACAATAAAAGCTGTAACCTAAACCAAATGAAACGTTAATCCTTCTGACCCATCTGAAATACGAATTAGGCCTTTGCTTCCCCTTAAGCAGTGCCTTGAAAGATTTTTGACTACATCTGTCTCCTGTGGGGTCACGCTGGCAGAGGCGCTTGCCCACTGTGCTGGGCAGAAGACTGCAGGGTCAGGAATGGGGTGAATTTGGACAGGAGTGGTTTAAGCACTTTGACCCTGAAGACAGTTCCTGCTACTACTGTTTTCTGGCACTGTGTAACTGCTGTAGCAGCCATACAGAAGTTGATCCTTTACCCCGGAACTGAAGTTTCACCATGGATGTTTGCTCCATAGCTAATGCCATAGACTAGCTCAACTAGCACGAACCTGTGCCAGAACTACTACTTTGTGTGTACTAGGGTTGGATGATGTTTCTGTCCCCGCCAAGAACTAAGTGACACTGGAGAGAGAACAGAAATAATCTTTGAAATATAGGTAAGTCATCGCTGCAGAACGGTTGGCAATAGCAAGTCTTCACATGTGTGAACTCTAGAATAAAGAAAAATGATGGCCAGTTAGCACACTATCTTCTGATGGAGTGTGTGCACTGTTTCTAGCACCACACTGATGTGAAGAGCAGCCCTTCCACATCAGCTCTACAGTATGTTGCAGTTAAACCTGTTCTGAATTAATACTTTCATGTAAAAAACTTAACCTGCCCCCCTCAGTAACTGATAAAAGATGATCCATCTAACAAAGGGCCAAATCATAACTTTATGGAGCAGTAGCATTTTCAGGCTTTTTTTCCCCTCCTAGGACACACCCAATACTAAAATATATTGTTCACGTTTTCTGTAAGTTTATGGAAGGCATCTGATAGAAGAAACAAATGTGCACCTGGGAATGAACACAGAATAGCTATCGAGAATATTTTAAACTTGTAGACTAATTCAAGTCTGCTGTTAGTCTAACGAAATAAGGGCTCTGGGGCATGGCTGAAGATGGTGCTGCCCAAGCAGCACACAGCAGTGAAAAAGAGGTACATCCTCACCCAAAACAAGGCTCTGCTCCTTGCAGAGCACAGAATGCAACAGCAGCATAGACTAGAAGAGAGGGACCGCCACAATAAAGCACTTTGTCAAAAGCACTTTTTGACAGGCAATGGGAAGGATGAGAAATAAACAGGACAATTGAAGTGCCAAACACATGCAGTTCACAGGGTACTCCATTACCAAGGTGAGGCAGTGAAGTTCTTAGAGAGAAAAAGGAAACTAGGACAGAAATTCACAATAACTATTTTTTATTACATTACAATAAATAGGAGCAGTACAGTTTGACAAAAAAATGACAAATTCCAGATCACCTCACAGCACATACTCCTAAAAACATTAAAAAATTTAAAACAAACAGTGGTCTTTTTTTTTTCTTTTTTCCTTTTTTTTTTTTTTTTTAACTTAACGTCTGGCATGACCGACATTCCTAGGTCACACAACCAAATGATGGAAAAACTGGATCACACTGCATATGTTCCACATCAAATAAAGCACAATGTACAAAATGTGCATGTTTCAGTTTACACTATACAAAAATAGTTAAAATACATTCCAGGTAAACATATTACATTAAGAAGTCATTCTAGTAAGAAGTTGGCACTCAAGAGGAAAAAGCAGAAGTATTTTCAACATGAAAACACAAGACAGTGGAATAAAGAAATGTTAGGAAAGATTTACCATCTATGTAGCTTTATGTAAACTTGAGACAAAATGATTTGTTTACAGTCTGATGGTCTTTGAAGGTAATAATTGTATTGCTTCAGAGCATAGACAGGAGCAGAAGATTGTGTGTCAGTATTAACCCATTACAGAGATCCCGCTACTGTAACAAAATCTATATGGTGAAACTTAATTTTAAGTTAGCAAACATTTTAGGGCAGTGAGACTGGTCAAAATAATGAAATTTCAGTTTCGAGAAAAAACAATGAGAAAGTTGTTTACCAGAGTTACATAAAGCTACTGTAAGAAGGTGTTACTCCCTGACACATGGCAATTTAATGTATTAATGTGGTAAGTGATTCACATGTTTGTTTAGTAGCTGCTATCAGAACAGATAGCACCCAGGTATGTTCTTTGAAAGCATTTCAAATAGGGAA